TGGTGTTGGGCGGCAGCAGAGACACTGGTGTATAGGGACAGGCAGCAGAGACACTGGTGTATGAGGGACAGGCAGCAGAGACACTGGTGTATGAGGGACAGACAGCAGAGACACGGTGTATGAGGGACAGGCAGCAGAGACACTGTGTATGAGGGACAGGCAACAGAGACACTGTGTATGAGGAAGGTAGCAGAGACCTGTGTATGAGGGACAGGCAGCAGAGACACTGGTGTATGAGGGACAGGCAGCAGAGACACTGGTGTATGAGGGACAGGCAGCAGAGACACTGGTGTATGAGGGACAGGCAGCAGAGACACTGGTGTAATGAGGGACAGGCAGCAGAGACACTGGTGTATGAGGGACAGGTAGCAGAGACACTGGTGTATGATGGACAGGCAGCAGAGACACTGGTGTATGAGGGACAGCAGCAGAGACACTGGTGTATGAGGGACAGGTAGCAGAGACATTGGATGTATGAGGGACAGGTAGCAGAGACATGGTGTATGAGGACAGGAGCAGAGACACTGGTGTATGAGGGACAGGCAGCAAGACACTGGTGTATGAGGGACAGGCAGCAGAGACACTGGGTATGAGGACAGGCAGCAGAGACACTGGTGTATGAGGGACAGGCAGCAGAGACACTGGTGTATGAGGACATGCAGCAGAGACACTGGTGTATGAGGGACAGGCAGCAGAGACACTGGTGTATGAGGGACAGGTAGCAGAGACACTGGTGTATGAGGGACAGGCAGCAGAGACACTGGTGTATGAGGACAGGCAGCAGAGACACTGGTGTATGAGGGACAGGCACAGAGACACTGGTGTATGAGGGACAGGCAGCAGAGACACTGGTGTATGAGGCGACAGGAGCAGAGACACTGGTGTATGAGGGACAGGCAGCAGAGACACTGGTGTATGAGGGACAGGTAGAGAGACTGGTGTATGAGGGAAGGCAGCAGAGACACTGGTGTATGAGGGACAGGTAGCAGAGACACTGGTGTATGAGGGACAGGTAGCAGACACTGTGTATGGGGACAGGCAGCAGAGACACTGGTGTATGAGGGACAGGTACAGAGACACTGGTGTATGAGGGACAGGCAGCAGAGACACTGGTGTATGAGGGACAGCAGCAGAGACACTGGTGTATGAGGGACAGGCAGCAGAGACACTGGTGTATGAGGGAGGTGCAGATACATGGTGTATGAGGACAGCAAAGAGACTGGTGTATGAGGGACAGGTCAGCAGAGACACTGGTGTATGAGGGACAGGCAGCAGAGACACTGGTGTATGAGGGACAGGCAGCAGAGACACTGGTGTATGAGGGACAGGCAGCAGAGACACTGGTGTATGAGGGACAGGCAGCAGAGACACTGGTGTATGAGGACAGGCAGCAGAGACACTGGTGTATGAGGGACAGGCAGCAGAGACACTGGTGTATGAGGGACAGGCAGCAGAGACACTGGTGTATGAGGACAGGCAGCAGAGACACTGGTGTATGAGGGACAGGCAGCAGAGACACTGGTGTATGAGGGACAGGCAGCATAGACACTGGTGTATGAGGGACAGGCAGCAGAGACACTGGTGTATGAGGGACAGGCAGCAGAGACACTGGTGTATGAGGGACAGGCAGCAGAGACACTGGTGTATGAGGGACAGGCAGCAGAGACACTGGTGTCTGAGGGACAGGCAGCAGACACTGTGTATGAGGACAGGCAGCAGAGACACTGGTGCATGAGGGACAGCAGCAGAGACACTGGTGTATGGGGGACAGGCAGCAGAGACACTGGTGTGTGAGGAAGGGTAGCAGAGACACTGGTGTATGAGGGACAGGCAGCGAGACATGGTGTATGAGGACAGGCAGCAGAGACACTTGTGTATGAGGGACAGGCAGCAGAGACACTGGAGTATGAGGGACAGGTAGCATAGACACTGGTGTATGAGGGACAGGTAGCAGAGACACTGGTGTATGAGGGACAGGCAGCAGAGACACTGGTGTATGAGGGACAGGCAGCAGAGACACTGGTGTATGAGGGACAGTCAGCAGAGACACTTGTGTATGAGGGACAGGCAGCAGAGACACTGGTGTATGAGGGACAGGTAGCAGAGACACTGGTGTATGAGGGACAGGCAGCAGAGACACTGGTGTATGAGGGACAGGCAGCAGAGACACTGGTGTATGAGGGACAGGTAGCAGAGACACTGATGTATGAGGGACAGGCAGCAGAGACACTGGTGTATGAGGGACAGGCAGCAGAGACACTGGTGTATGAGGGACAGACAGCAGAGACACTGGTGTATGAGGGACAGGCAGCAGAGACACTGGTGTATGAGGGACAGGTAGCAGAGACACTGGTGTATGAGGGACAGGCAGCAGAGACACTGGCGTATGAGGGACAGGCAGCAGAGACACTGGTGTATGAGGGACAGGCAGCAGAGACACTGGTGTATGAGGGACAGGTAGCAGAGACACTGGTGTATGAGGGACAGGTAGCAGAGACACTGATGTATGAGGGACAGGCAGCAGAGACACTGGTGTATGAGGGACAGGCAGCAGAGACACTGGTGTATGAGGGACAGACAGCAGAGACACTGGTGTATGACGGACAGGCAGCAGAGACACTGGTGTATGAGGGACAGGCAGCAGAGACACTGGTGTATGAGGGACAGGCAGCAGAGACACTGGTGTATGAGGGACAGGCAGCAGAGACACTGGTGTATGAGGGACAGGCAGCAGAGACACTGGTGTATGAGGGACAGGTAGCAGAGACACTGGTATGAGGGACAGGTAGCAGAGACACTGGTGTATGAGGGACAGGTAGCAGAGACACTGGTGTATGAGGGACAGGTAGCAGAGACACTGGTGTATGAGGGACAGGTAGCAGAGACACTAGTGTATGAGGGACAGGCAGCAGAGACACTGGTGTATGAGGGACAGGTAGCAGAGACACTGGTGTATGAGGGACAGGTAGCAGAGACACTGGTGTATGAGGGACAGGTAGCAGAGACACTGGTGTATGAGGGACAGGCAGCAGATACACTGGTGTATGAGGGACAGGCAGCAGAGACACTGGTGTATGAGGGACAGGTAGCAGAGACACTGGTGTATGAGGGACAGGTAGCAGAGACACTGGTGTATTAGGGACAGGCAGCAGATACACTGGTGTATGAGGGACAGGTAGCAGAGACACTGGTGTATGAGGGACAGGCAGCAGAGACACTGGTGTATGAGGAACAGGTAGCAGAGACACTGGTGTATGAGGGACAGGTAGCAGAGACACTGGTGTATGAGGGACAGGCAGCAGAGACACTGGTGTTTGAGGGACAGGCAGCAGAGACACTGGTGTATGAGGGACAGGCAGCAGAGACACTGGTGTATGAGGGACAGACAGCAGAGACACTGGTGTATGAGGGACAGGCAGCAGAGACACTGGTGTATGAGGGACAGGCAGCAGAGACACTGGTGTATGAGGGACAGGCAGCAGAGACACTGGTGTATGAGGGACAGGTAGCAGAGACACTGGTGTATGAGGGACAGGTAGCAGAGATACTGGTGTATGAGGGACAGGTAGCAGAGACACTGGTGTATGAGGGACAGGCAGCAGAGACACTGGTGTATGAGGGACAGGTAGCAGAGACACTGGTGTATGAGGGACAGGTAGCAGAGACACTGGTGTATGAGGGACAGGTAGCAGAGACACTGGTGTATGAGGGACAGGCAGCAGAGACACTGGTGTATGAGGGACAGGCAGCAGAGACACTGGTGTATGAGGGACAGGCAGCAGAGACACTGGTGTATGAGGGACAGGCAGCAGAGACACTGGTGTATGAGGAACAGGTAGCAGAGACACTGGTGTATGAGGGACAGGTAGCAGAGACACTGGTGTATGAGGGACAGGCAGCAGAGACACTGGTGTTTGAGGACAGGCAGCAGAGACACTGGTGTATGAGGGACAGGCAGCAGAGACACTGGTGTATGAGGGACAGACAGCAGAGACACTGGTGTATGAGGGACAGGCAGCAGAGACACTGGTGTATGAGGGACAGGCAGCAGAGACAATGGTGTATGAGGGACAGGCAGCAGAGACACTGGTGTATGAGGGACAGGCAGCAGAGACACTGGTGTATGAGGGACAGGCAGCAGAGACACTGGTGTATGAGGACAGGCAGCAGAGTCACTGGTGTATGAGGGACAGGCAGCAGAGACACTGGTGTATGAGGGACAGGCAGCAGAGACACTGGTGTATGAGGGACAGGTAGCAGAGACACTGGTGTATGAGGGACAGGCAGCAGAGACACTGGTGTATGAGGGACAGGCAGCAGAGACACTGGTGTATGAGGGACAGGCAGCAGAGACACTGGTGTATGAGGGACAGGCAGCAGAGACACTGGTGTATGAGGGACAGGCAGCAGAGACACTGGTGTATGAGGGACAGGCAGCAGAGACACTGGTGTATAGAGGGACAGGCAGCAGAGACACTGGTGTATGAGGGACAGGCAGCAGAGACACTGGTGTATGAGGGACAGGCAGCAGAGACACTGGTGTATGAGGGACAGGCAGCAGAGACACTGGTGTATGAGGGACAGGCAGCAGAGACACTGGTGTATGAGGGACAGGCAGCAGAGACACTGGTGTATGAGGGACAGGCAGCAGAGACACTGGTGTATGAGGGACAGGCAGCAGAGACACTGGTGTATGAGGGACAGGCAGCAGAGACACTGGTGTATGAGGGACAGGCAGCAGAGACACTGGTGTATGAGGGACAGGCAGCAGAGACACTTACGATGATTGGTAACGTAATAGGAGGTAATGGTGATTTATTCATAGGAGAAAACTAATTAGCACGACAGGAAGAAAGAGAAGGAAGAAGAGGAGGAGAAGCAGCAGCAGGAAGAGATGGCAAGGCGAAGCAATTGAGATTTGTTAAGTTACAACGAGAGGGAGTCTAAAGTACTCACGTGAATATTGTAAAGTACTCACGTGAATAGACTGATGTACTCACCTAAATAGTAATCAAGTACTCCACGCTGCTCGATTCCATTGTACATTTCTTGTCCATACATAACGTACTGTAACTCAGTGTTAAGGAAGGAGATCTCCAGCTCCGTAATGAACGAGTCTGGCACCGTCGGCAGCGTTGCTGTGATGGAACACCAACAAGTTACTTGATCAATAGTCTTTGATGCTGGTGAAGGTATCTTGATCCATAAAACTGAAGCTAACATCCCCTTTCCTGGATCAGGTCTGACTGCCTCATACACCCTGGCTAGCATGTGACCCTTACGGTCTTACCGCTTCCACATGAATTTAATAATAAATAAAATTCTATTTGTTATTATTGATGCTACTCTTATATACATACAAGAAATAACGTCAGATACCAACGCCTTTCAACCCGTTTTCAATTCATTATTTTTCTCATTCTTATCCTCATATCTTCCTTTATTTCCATCTCTTCCATTTTCTCCCCCTAAATATTTTTACCCTCTCTCCCTTCATCCTTTATTTTTTACCCTCCCTCTTTTGCTACTTGTATTTCGCTGCTTTCCTGTTTCTCCTGTACTTGACTTAAGTAGGGACGTGTGATGGACACATTCTCCTTCTTTGCTTACCTCATTTCATAAATCCCTCCTTCCCATTTTCACTACTTGTCTGCTTGTTTTTCCTGCATCGCTCCCTCCTTCCCTCCCTCTCTCTCCCGCCCTTCTTCCCTGCCTCTCTGTCCCTCCTTCCTTCCCTCCCTCTCTCTCCCTCCCTCCTTCCCTGTCTATACCTACGAGAGTTTGGTGGGGACGGATGCTGGACACATCCTTCATCATCCTTGAACCTCTGCCTGTAGAGTTCCATTTTAGCGTTGAGATCCGCTCTCTGCCTGGTGTTTCGGCTCTTACGGGGGTCCATGGCCCTACTGGGGCCACCCATACCGACATGACGCCCCCTGGTGCCAGGGTGAGTGAAGTGATGGGCCCTGCTGCCAGGGGAAGTGGAGGAGAGCACCCACACTGTCGCCTGTACCAGCAGAAGTATCAGTATTATCTTCAGTCTGTGAGACAGCATCCTCATCTCAGGTCAAACAACAGCTGTAAACACGAGAAATATGGATGCTGAGAAGCGTGTTGGGTTGTGTTTGTCATTGTATATTTGTAATTCCATAAGTGATGAAGTGTTGATGTTGAGAGACGATGCTTTAAAATATCTCGACTGAGGTGGTGTAGGTGTTATGTTAGTCAGGAAACAGAAGTCTTCTAATGGTATCTTTATCATCTGATGACCCGGTAACTGGCTAAACATTCACTAGACTACGGTAGCTAATGAAAAGCTAGCTTTCCCTACTCTCTCTCTCTCTCTCTCTCTCTCTCTCTCTCTCTCTCTCTCTCTGTCTCTCTCTCTTTGTAAATAGTGAAGTATCTTATAAAATTCATCTCTTTTTTTTTTTTGTAAAAGTGATTAAAAAAGTACTTTTGGATGCACTTTTTGAATTATATTGACGAGAAAAGGCATTATATAGAGGAGCATGAGAGAGCAGACTACATTATTACTTTCCAAAATTCTATTCGGTAGTTTGTCACACACATCTATAACTCTGCATGACAACAATAACTTTCCTATACTCTTTCTAAATGACATTTTATCCCATGAATGGTTCTATAACACGGAGAAGTGTCCGCACCGCCACCCTCCACACATCAACTTTACCGTTCACGATGTAGTCGGCCACAGTTAGTGTTGCCTTAACCAAAACTGCTGAGGAACTGAGGTGTTCACGAGGGCCAGGGCTGAGAGACGCCCCCCTACCTCGGCCCTATATCCCTATCCCCCCCTAGCTCTATCTGGCTTCCACTGATCGTATCTGGCGGTATCTGCCGATCACCTTATTCATGTCACAAGTTGAGAAACATAGAGTCGACCACAGAACCATTATACTCCCACACAAACACGCCCCTCACGTCCATATTATTATTTTCTGTTCTCGCTACCGCTTATTACGAACCTTACCTAGCCTAAGCTAATTATATATATATATATATATATATATATATATATATATATATATATATATATATATATATATATATATATATATATATATATATATATATATTATATATATATATATATATATATATGTTAAGAAACGGGTTCACTATAATTTTAGATCCTTTAATAAGAGGTGCCTCGATGTTGATGCCTTGATATCGGAGCCTTAATGTTGTTACCTTGATGTCGGTGCCTTGATGTCGGTGCCTTGATGTTGGTACCTTGATATCGGTGCCTTGATGTTGGTAAACCCGTAATCAACACGTTCTCTGTGGCTGATATGGTCGGCGTCCTGTATGACGGGTATCTCAGAGGGCGTGAAGGGGCGGACGATACACACTTGTATCACCACCTGATAACACACCAGCAGAGAGGAGAGAGAGGAGCCAAGGAGAGAGAGAGAGAGAGAGAGAGAGAGAGAGAGAGAGAGAGAGAGAGAGAGAGAGAGATACAGAGGTTGCAGTTAGTACCTGACTGGGATACCACACGTGCTGGAGTAACTGACCCAGTCTCTTGAAGTTGGGTTGACACTGGTGGTCACAAAACTGTTTTAGACTTTAAGATGAAGGTACGTTCGTGTGTGTGTGTGTGTGTGTGTGTGTGTGTGTGTGTGTGTGTGTGTGTGTGTGTGTGTGTGTGTGTGTAAATTACCATATGTGTTTGTGGTTTTACTTGTGTGAATTTTTTTAATGTGTCCATGGATTTATATATACAAATTATTTTATATATGTACATGGATTTACATGACTCAAGAAATCGTAATGAAACGATTGCAACCAAACCATACCCCGGCCGGGTTGAACCCGCGGTCATAGAGTCTCAAAACTTCAGCCCGTCGCAGTGAAGGGACTTAAGCTAGAGTTCGTCACGGCCACGCTACTATTATTCATGTCACAAGAATAATAGATCCTCTCTCTCCCTGATCAATGAGCTTCATCATACCTCGCCTTAAAACTATGTATGGTTCCTGCCTCCACTACTTCACTTGCTAGGCTATTCCACTTCCTGACAACTCTATGACTGAACAAATACTTCCTAACATCCCTTTGACTCATCTGAGTCTTCAACTTCCAATTGTGACCCCTTGTTTCTGTGTCCCCTCTCTGGAACATCCTGTCTCTGTCCACCTTATCTATTCCACGCAGTATTTTGTATGTCGTTATCATGTCTCCCTTAACCCTCCTGTCCTCTAGTGTCGTCAGGCCGATTTCCCTTAACCTTTCTTCGTAGGACATACCTCTTAGCTCTGGAACTAACCTTGTTGCAAACCTTTGCACTTTCTCTAAGTTTTTAGCGTGCTTGACCCGGTGTGAGTTTCAGTCTGGTGCTGCATATACCAGTATGGGCCTGACGTACACAATGTACAGTGTCTTGAATGATTCCTTACTAAGGTATCGGAACGCTATTCTCAGGTTTGCCAGGCGCCCATATGCTGCAGCAGTTATTTGGTTGATGTGTGCTTCCGGTGAAGTGTTCGGTGTTATATTCACCCCAAGATCTTTCTGTGTATGCGTGTGTGTGCATGTTTGTGTATTCATGGCTATGTATATATATATATATATATATATATATATATATATATATATATATATATATATATATATATATATATATATATATATATATATATATATATATATATATATATATATATATATATATATATATATATATATATATATAAATAATGTCATGTGTGTGTTTGAACACATGTGTTCACCTATTATAGGTAGCAGAGGTCGAGCCTCAGCTCCTGGCCCTGCCTCTCAAAGTAACCTCTACAGGATTCACCATCTCCTGGTGTCGTAAGCCCTACCATATCTGTTCTGAAAACTGTGTATACATCCTACCATTTATGTAAAGTAAAAGGACACAAGTGCAACTAATGTGACATTTACTGTGGCAACGTTTCGCTCTCCAGGAGCTTTATCAAGCTCCTTGATAAAGCTCCTGGAGAGCGAAACGTTGCCACAATAAAATGTCACATTAGTTGCACTTGTGTCCTTTTTACTTTACATATTGTCGGTAATTCTACCAACTTTATTACAATCCTACCATTTAGTTGACTTTTCGCTCAGGGTGAAATGATTGATACGATGTTTCGCGTGTGGTTACGGCAGGTGAATGATAAGTTAGATGCGTGGAACGTCCAGCAGAATGATGTTAAAGGAACGACTCTTAGCGCACTGAACGACATGATGACAGGAAAATTAAATGTCTGTTAACAAATTCTCGCAAATTCTTGTCAATGTTGCGGAAATCTGATGTTAAAACTGACTGCTCAACAGTTTTAACATCGTGTGCTGAATGTTAAGATCGTGTGTTGAATGTTAACACCGTGTGTTCAATGTTAACATCGTGTGTTCAATGTTAACACCGTGTGTTCAATGTTAACACCGTGTGTTCAATGTTAACATCGTGTGTTGAATGTTAACATCGTGTGTTGAGTGTTAACATCGTGTGTTCAATGTTAACACCGTGTGTTCAATGTTAACATCGTGTGTTGAATGTTAACACCGTGTGTTGAGTGTTAACATCGTGTGTTCAATGTTAACACCGTGTGTTCAATGTTAATATCGTGTGTTGAATGTTAACACCGTGTGTTCAATGTTAATATCGTGTGTTGAATGTTAACACCGTGTGTTGAGTGTTAACATCGTGTGTTCAATGTTAACATCGTGTGTTCAATGTTAATATCGTGTGTTGAATGTTAACACCGTGTGTTGAGTGTTAACATCGTGTGTTCAATGTTAACACCGTGTGTTCAATGTTAATATCGTGTGTTGAATGTTAACACCGTGTGTTGAGTGTTAACATCGTGTGTTCAATGTTAACACCGTGTGTTCAATGTTAATATCGTGTGTTGAATGTTAACACCGTGTGTTGAGTGTTAACATCGCATGTTGAATGTTAACACCGTGTGTTGAGTGTTAACATCGTGTGTTCAATGTTAACACCGTGTGTTCAATGTTAATATCGTGTGTTGAATGTTAACACCGTGTGTTGAGTGTTAACATCGCATGTTGAATGTTAACATCGCATATTGAATGTTAACATCGCGTGTAAATGTTAACTCGCAGGACTGTGTTAACACTGTTACTTAAGTACCTTCACACTACTATGTTCCTGACATGTATGCTAATTAGTGTACTGTGTCACCTCAGACAAATCACCTTCCCTCCCACACCTGTGCTTTCTCTTCTACAGTGGCACACCCTAGCAGCGTTGTTGCTGTTGGTGATGTTGGAGGGCGTGGTGGAGGGCGTGGTGGAGGGCGTGGGGGAGGGCGTGGGGGAGGGCAGATCAGGATACGACCGTAGGATGACGAAGGAGGAGAGGGAGGAGGTGTTCCAGAGGATGAGAAGAACTATTGTGAACGATGATCTGATCTGTCTACCTCCTGACGACCCTCCAGCAAACACTGGTATGGTGTATGGAACAAGAGAGATAGATAGATAGAGAGAGAGAGAGAGAGAGAGAGAGAGAGAGAGAGAGAGAATGAATATCTATGTCTCTCATTCCAACCCATTTAACTCACCTTTTACCTTCTGATGAAGATTTCATTCAGGAACCGAAAGTCCTCTATCATCCATTTACGATATATCCCTTACGGATCCAATTTCCTTATTGACATAATAACAACAATAATAATTATCATTATTATGATTATAATACAATGCCTATTCAAATATCCCTAAAGGGAGGATCACATGGTATAAATATCGTCTCACTTGGCCATCTCTCGTACAGATCCCCTGCCTACCATCCCTCGTTCCTTCACCACCAAGGTGGAGATCGCTCTCCAGATGACTGACCAGTTGTTCCTGGCCTACGGAACAGAATCCTTCGACGGCGTCTTCAACAGAGGCGTCCTTGCCTATGAGTTAGGTAAGTTTCTCCACCCCTATATAGGTAAGGCAATAGTCAAGAATACTCTAATCTCCTAAAAGAATTATTAAATAATCTGTCAGTGTGTGTACACTGAGAGAAATACACATCTCTGTGTGTATACCGTGACTATCTCAGGATACATTAAGTGTTCACAGCTCTTTTTATATGTAAATAAAACAGAAAATGACTATTTAACATAGAAATGGATTACAATTATCATCGTCATTATTATTAATTTAATTTTATTGTTTATTATCACTGATATCGATTGACATTCTTGCTTGAAACAATCTCTGTTATCTAGTTTATATGTCTACCTCACATCTATCAAATGACTGTTTCACTTCAAGGAATACAAACCACGTAAAGCAGGTCCATCATTACATAGGCGATGTTTCGCCCTAATGGGAATTTATCAAGTTTTATATCGACTGATGAAGTTCATATTGCCTATTTTATCATCCCAGTTTATCTGTTACGAGAAATTAATCATATTTTGATTCAGTGGTGTATGGCACCCAGTGGTGTATGGCACCCAGTGGTGTATGGCACCCAGTGGTGTATGGCACCCAGTGGTGTATGGCACCCAGTGGTGTATGGCACCCAGTGGTGTATGGCACCCAGTGGTGTATGGCACCCAGTGGTGTATGGCACCCAGTGGTGTATGGCACCGTCCTCTTAGCTTAGTACACTTTAATATATAAACAAACCTCTTAACTGTACTTATAAATGTTTCACAAATTTAAGTGAACCAACTTGTTTGGGCCATTGTAATTTATCAATAATGTAGATGTGGTGTCCGTTGACTAATGATTCTGATCCAGTGTTAAGGGAGCTACCATTAATGATTCTGATCCAGTGTTAAGGGAGCTACCATTAATGATTCTGATCCAGTGTTAAGGGAGCTACCATTAATGATTCTGATCCAGTGTTAAGGAAGCTACTATTAATGATTCTGATCCAGTGTTAAGGGAGCTACCATTAATGATTCTAATCCAGTGTTAAGGGAACTCCCATTAATGACTGAACCAGCGTTAAAGGAACTCCCATTAATGACTCTGAATAAGTGTTAAGGGAACTGCCATTAATGACTCTGATCCACTGTTAAGGGAACTCCCATTAATGACTGAACCAGCGTTAAAGGAACTCCCATTAATGACTCTGAATAAGTGTTAAGGGAACTCCCATTAATGACTCTGATCCAGTGTTGAGGGAACTCCTATTAATGACTTTGATCCTGTGTTAAGGGAACTCCCATTAATGACTCTGATCCAGTGTAAAGGGAACTCCCATTAATGACTCTGATCCAGTGTAAAGGGAACTCCCATTAATGACTGAACCAGCGTTAAAGGAACTCCCATTAATGACTCTGAATAAGTGTTAAGGGAACTCCCATTAATGACTCTGATCCAGTGTTGAGGGAACTCCTATTAATGACTTTGATCCTGTGTTAAGGGAACTCCCATTAATGACTCTGATCCAGTGTAAAGGGAACTCCCATTAATGACTCTGATCCAGTGTAAAGGGAACTCCCATTAATGACTCTGATCCAGTGTAAAGGGAACTCCCATTAATGGCTCTGAACCTTACAGTTTTACAAAAAATAAAAACCTGGGTCATGTTGCAAAGGTGCAAGTGACTGCAATAATCTGGGATCATCTTGTAGCAACATGGAGCTCTCATCTGATGTTGTTGATATTATAATACATCCTTTTAATTCTATACATTATGATGTAGGTGTTGTAGTTCCCCCATTATACAAGTGTGTCTACATGCATCTCTCACCCTTCTCTGTCTCTCACAGTCCTTCTCACTCTTTCACACTCCTTACTTCACTCTGTCACCCGCAGTCCAGTCTTCATTCTCTCACTCTCAGTCACTTTTTCAGCCCATCTCTCTGTCTCTCCATCCTGTCCTGTCCATATCTCTGTCTCTCCATCCTGTCCTTTCCATCTCTCTGTCTCTCCATCCTGTCCTTTCCATCTCTCTGTCTCTCCATTCTGTCCTTTCCATCTGTCTCTCCATCCTGTCCTTTCCATCTGTCTCTCCATCCTGTCCTTTCCATCTGTCTCTCCATCCTGTCCTTTCCATCTCTCTGTCTCTCCATCCTGTCCTTTTCATCTGTCTCTCCATCCTGTCCTTTCCATCTGTCTCTCCATCCTGTCCTTTCCATCTGTCTCTCCATCCTGTCCTTTCCATCTCTCTGTCTCTCCATCCTGTCCTTTCCATCTGTCTCTCCATCCTGTCCTTTCCATATCTCTGTCTCTCCATCCTGTCCTTTCCATCTCTCTGTCTCTCCATCCTGTCCTTTCCATCTCTCTGTCTCTCCATCCTGTCCTTTCCATCTGTCTCTCCATCCTGTCCTTTCCATCTGTCTCTCCATCCTGTCCTTTCCATCTGTCTCTCCATCCTGTCCTTTCCATCTCTCTGTCTCTCCATCCTGTCAATCCATCTCCCAGTCGTCATCATCTGATGTGACTCTCTCCCTCCTTTCCTCCTGCAGGAGAGGGTTTGGTCAATGATCGTCCACACATGCAGGAGGAGATCGTCCACTACGACATGACCAAGAACGAATCCCTCATTATCATCACCGATACCTCTTGCGAGGACACAGGCGAAGAAAACTGCGACCCAAGTCAGTCAGTCTGTTGTGTATACACCCAGATCTAATTCATCTTCCTTGGGTACCATTGAAAATGGGTCGGGCAAATAATTTTGTTAGTGGGTTTGGGTTTGAGAAGGACGTGCCTAGTATGGGCCAGTAGGCATGCCGCAGTGTTCCTCGTGTTAAGCAATCTTTTAGTAGCCCCATTGGTGTCAGCTGATTCTCCTTATCCAATCACTGCCTGAGGAATCATTTTCTTTGTTCGGTCACTGCCGCAACAATCATTCTCCTTGTCCAGTCACTGCTTGAGAAACTATTCTTCTTGTCCAGTCACTGCTGCAGCAACCATTCTCCTCCTCCTGCAGTCACTGTTAGTGGAACGTTCTTCTATTCGTCCAGTCACTGCCCCACTACTCCCTATCATTTATGCTGCTCCTTTTACTTACAGAAGCAACTACATATTCCCACCAGTGTAAGCATTTCTCGTTCTGTCCGTCACAGAGAAGACTTGCCATGCAAAAACCACCAAGGAACTGGTCAACGAAATGTCCAGTGTCTTCGGCTTCGGGAGTGCCATCGGTGCCAACGGCATCTTCGGCACGATGGGTGTCCTGGAGTGGGGCCCACAGAACAACTACGTGTATATGGGAAAAGAAAACTGCAGAGGTATGCAATGCGACAGATACCAAGCTTGCATCACGGACAAGGAGGGGGTGCCCGTGGTTAAGCTTGTGTACTTCTGGTCTGGTAAGTAGCTCCTTTGTATGGTGCTGCCAGTGCCTTATTTGTATGGTCTGGTCAGCACCTTCTTTGTATGGTCCTGTCTGTGGCTCATTTATCAACAAAAAGTCACAGTAACTTTAATTGAGCAACTCACAACTAACTGTCAATTTAGTAAACAGAGATTCCAACTATGGTTGAGTTCCTTCAGGGTTTAACAATGACCTCTGGATCCACTTTCAGATCGTCTATTTTCCATTTCCATTTTGTGAATTGGTTGTGAATTATTTCCATGGATTTCTCCTGACTCCTAAATCCCAAATCCTTCCTTGGGATTTTTTTAAGCTTGTATTCCACATGTTTAAAAGATTTTATATTCACATTATCTTCACCTATCCTACTTACCTATTGTTCGCCCTCACGTGCGTGCGTTTCCACCTATTCGCTTACACATATCAAGGCACATATATTCACGTACATATTTCCACAGCAAGTAGCTGGCACGTAGCAAGCAACGGACCGTCCGTGCCCGTGGCAGTGGAGATTCAGTCAACAGGCAAGTACGGCACTCTCGTCACTCGCGAGGTTATGCAGCGCTTCGATTTTTACGAGGTCCTAAGAGACTTCCGGCCAAGCCTGGAGGAACTGATGGTGAGTAACTGGTCAGTCAATGACTGGTCAGTCAGTGACTGGTCAGGTACTGGACATGTATAGTGAGATACTGCCAATGTATTGTAAGACACTTCCCACGTATTGTAAATTCTTGCATCCACTTATCCCCCACCAATATACCCTCTCATGTGTCACGCGTCACACTTCACACAACACACCGCAGTGACCCTCAGGTCACAAGAGACTCAGTTCTCCCTAAAAATAATCCACCGACATTTTGCTGATAGATTGATACAAATTAAAAGACAATCTATTTAAAGGAATATGTGAGAATAGGTTCAATAGTTCCCCCGACACTTGCAAGGTTCAATAGTTCCCCCGACACTTGCAAGGTTCAATAGTTCCCCCGACACTTGCAAGGTTCAATAGTTCCCCTGACACTTGCAAGGTTCAATAGTTCCCCCGACACTTGCAAGGTTCAATAGTTCCCCCGACACTTGCAAGGTTCAATAGTTCCCCCGACACTTGCAAGGTTCAATAGTTCCCCTGACACTTGCAAGGTTCAATAGTTCCCCTGACACTTGCAAGGTTCAATAGTTCCCCCGACACTTGCAAGGTTCAATAGTTCCCCCGACACTTGCAAGGTTCAATAGTTCCCCCGACACTTGCAAGGTTCAATAGTTCCCCCGACACTTGCAAGGTTCAATAGTTCCCCCGACACTTGCAAGGTTCAATAGTTCCCCCGACACTTGCAAGGTTCAATAGTTCCCCCGACACTTGCAAGGTTCAATAGTTCCCCCGACACTTGCAAGGTTCAATAGTTCCCCTGACACTTGCAAGGTTCAATAGTTCCCCCGACACTTGCAAGGTTCAATAGTTCCCCCGACACTTGCAAGGTTCAATAGTTCCCCTGACACTTGCAAGGTTCAATAGTTCCCCCGACACTTGCAAGGTTCAATAGTTCCCCCGACACTTGCAAGGTTCAATAGTTCCCCCGACACTTGCAAGGTTCAATAGTTCCCCCGACACTTGCAAGGTTCAATAGTTCCCCCGACACTTGCAAGGTTCAATAGTTCCCCCGACACTTGCAAGGTTCAATAGTTCCCCCGACACTTGCAAGGTTCAATAGTTACCCCGACACTTGCAAGGTTCAATAGTTCCCCGACACTTGCAAGGTTCAATAGTTCCCCTGACACTTGCAAGGTTCAATAGTTCCCCCGACACTTGCAAGGTTCAATAGTTCCCCCGACACTTGCAAGGTTCAATAGTTCCCCCGACACTTGCAAGGTTCAATAGTTCCCCCGACACTTGCAAGGTTCAATAGTTCCCCTGACACTTGCAAGGTTCAATAGTTCCCCCGACACTTGCAAGGTTCAATAGTTCCCCCGACACTCGCAAGGTTCAATAGTTCCCCCGACACTTGCAAGGTTCAATAGTTCCCCTGACACTTGCAAGGTTCAATAGTTCCCCCGACACTTGTAAGGCTCAATCACAATGGCATTTAGTGATGCACACTTGCACTTATGCAAGCTACTCAGTTTCAAATGAAGGTATGACCGGGCAATAAAGGTCAAAAAGCCAGTGAAACCAGTCGATAAGAGCTAAAAGACTAGGCCAGGAGCTACACCTTGATTACCGAAAAAAATAATGTGAGCACTTGCTTGAGCACTTTCTCTCTCCCTCTACTTCAGCCACCAGGCGACGTGTACTGCAAATCCCGTAAGTCACAGTACGACCCTCCCGTAGTTCCCTACTACTTCTCCTACGACTCTGAGGCCGTCGCTGGCTTCGACGTCACCATCGCCATTGGTGACAACGAGACTGAAAAAATTGAGTTTACAGTAGCCTTCAGTCAGTCGGTAAGTAGACAGCACCAGACATGTCTCTCCTCTCGTCTGTCAGTGATTAAGTCCTGTGGAGGTGTATGTTACTGCACGATGTATGGTTTGTTACAGTCGGCAGGCACGCAACTAAACAATAACAATGTAGCAAGCGAGTGAGAGAAGTGCAGTGGCACTGTAAAAGTGAGAGAAGTGCAGTGGCACTGAGAGTGTCATCAGTAGGTAATAGGATCAGTAATATTCAAAGACCCGAGGATACTAAGATCCTTCGCACTTGCAGGAGTTCTACGACTGGAACGCCAAGATCGTCATGACAGAGTATGTTCCTTGGTACATCTTTGGCGAGGTCTATCGCTATGAATTCGAGACTCAACGCATCCAAGACTTTAATCAAGGTTCCTATCTATCGCCGCTCCTTGTTTGTCTATTTCTATTCATGCCTATCTTCTCTCCATATTTATGTCTATCACTACCCATGTTTGTGTCTCAGTGTTCATTTTTCTCTCACAATCGAGTCTGTCGCCTTGTTCCTCTTCCTCTCACACTAGTATCAAGAAGATATATACACCGTGAGGTGTATATATACACCTGTGTATATATGCTGAAAGTTTGCTTATGTTACAATATTCTTGATTAGTAATGAAGAGGTGACAGGCAACCTTAATGACCCTCGTGTAGTGGACAGGTTCTTAAACTCTTTAAATATCCAACTACTTACATCTGTCTCATTGTTCCTCTCTCACTTTCACATCTTCCTCATTCTTCCTGTTTCACTTATAATCAGATATTTGAAATTTCCCATAACCTTCCAGTTAGAAATTTTAATAAGGATCTAAAACCGATAAATATGCATAGGTAAGAATAATGTGGGATCGAACCTGCGCCCCACTTATTGTTGGTCTAAAAAGCTACCATTGTACCAGGATAATTCAAAATGTTACTAAGACACACACACTGGCAGAGTATGTTTGTCCCAGCTATTGCCTCAGACAATCTTTCCTACATGCAGTAACAGTTTGGTAACCCTATAAAGTAGTTTATATGTAATAACGCTACTTGGTTATTAGAGTTGAATCCCGCTCTTGTCTTTAGTGATTACTTTGTTGTATTTCATATTAATGTGAAATCTCCGTTCATATTATAACTACAAACATCTTAAATTCTCATTCTTTTGTCCTGTGTTAACATTCACCTGCTTACACCTTCTCCCAGGTCTTGAATACTACCTGCAAAAACACCAGGACAAGAAGTGCAGGTATGGCATCATACAGAACTCGTCCAGCGGAGGAGACGTCGTGGTGAATGACGATGGTTCAGTCTCCCTCCAGCCTCCCTGGATCTTTGAGAACCTAGACGAACCTATGCAGTACAATGGCATTGTGAGAGGAACCCCTTCACTATCTTGTTTACCTTGTTATCTTATTAATATTTCTTTAGCTTTGTTTTATACTGTCTCCTGAGTTTCTTAGATATGACTGTTTTTTCTGATTAGTGACATGTTTAAGGTATATGGTTTACCTTGTGAAGTATGGTTTAACCAGTGTTTCTTTTACCTGCCCCGCTTAATCCTGTCATCCCTAGTCTGACCACTTATTTCACTATGCTAATCTTGATAAGTGAGACACATATGCAACAGTTGGGTATCTTCATTCAGAAATCTTTCGCCTACACAGCAGGCTTCTTCAGTCGAATACAGAGGACAGCAGGAGTAGAGATGTGAAGATGATGTCATCAGTCCATCGCCCTTGAGGACGTATTTTTGAGGTGGTCAGTCCCTCAGCCTGGAGAACGAGTTTTGCAGTAGTTTGGAACAATGTGAAGTTTAAGCAGCAGTACGGAGACTTATACTATGAAGCAAAACTCGTTCTCCAGGCTGAGGGACTGACTACCTCAAAGCTACGTCTTCAAGGGCGATGGACTGATGACATCGTCTTCACATCTCTACTCCTGCTGTACTCTTCTGTATTCGACTAAAGAAACTTACTGTGTAGGCGACACCTTTCGAAATAGAGATACCCAGTTATTGCATGTGTCTGGAGACCTGGAGAGAGTTCCGGGGGTCAACGCCCCCGCGGCCCGGTCTGAGACCAGGCCTCCTGGTGGATCAGAGCCTGATCAACCAGTCTCATTTATCAACTTGTCGATATTATATAACATTAACATATTCATACTAATCTTGGTTTGATCAGTTGCTTAACTCTGTCAGTATGGTTTAACTCATTACTAAATTCGATATATCATTGAGTGACCATTTTAATTTTCATTTGACCTGCTAGTTACCCCTCTCAACTTAAATTTGAATTATTATTTAACCCTATTAACCTTGGTTTGACCTAATATCTAACCTTTGTCACCCGTGGTTTGGCTTAGGTAAAGTTGGAGGGAGGGGGTAAGGGAGGTTTTGTGGGCGAGGGGCTTGGACTTCCAGCAAGAGTGCGTCAGCATTACTTTGCAGTGCTGCTGAGATCTATGTTAAACACAGCCAATTAGAAGGTGAAGCAAAGTTATTATTCACGGAAAGATTATCTTTGTCATCATTATCCAGAGTATATTTTTGTGTTTATCTGCAGCATTCAGCACGAGATATGGAGGCTGATGTTTGGATCGGCTTGAAGAATCATCTTCTCTCCCTCATCAGTGAGAACTTTGTTTGGTTTTATGCCTCTGTAAGTTGCAACTTTATTTAACTATGATGAAGTGGTTAATGTGCGACACCTTTTTTTTTTCTTGAAAGTGTTTAGCCAACCAGTTGTTATTTTTTAATTTAATATAGAGAATATGCTGCAAGTTGGTGATAGATGAGGCAATTAGTCCCTCAACCTTGGGAGAAAACTTTCTTAGTGGAGAGAAGAAAAGTCAGCTAGTGTTTCGCTCTGTGTAGAGCTTTATCAAGTCATGACTTAATAAAGCTCTACACAGAGCGACATGTTGTACCAATAGTGACATATCTGTACTTAGTTAATGCAATCTAAAATCCGCAGAGTCAGATGTGTAACAGTAGTTTAAGAGTGTCACGTATTTCTTCCTGTGAGACCTTCACTAGCAGATGTATACATGTGTTTCTTTAAATCTTCGTTCACAAGTAATTCATAAATTTTAAATCATAACTAGAGTGGCAGCTAATCCACCTTATCTTATATGTTAAGACTCTTAATGTTTTGTCTCATAGGACCTGCGATTTTTAAATGTATGTTGAGGTCTATCTAATTTTTGATGTTTTGGTAAAATCAACTTTTTTCTGAGTTTTGTAGATCATAAGTTTTTCTGTTTTCCTTCGAGTTCAAGTGATTGTTAATAGTAATGTATATATGAGATTCAGTTATATGTTCTAATTCCTTTATCAAGTGTGATCTCCTTTCAAGTCTGCTTAACTGTTGTCCCGTTAGATCACTGTTGCTCAGTCTCTTTTCTGTCCTGTTGATTTACAGCTACACATGTTTTGGTCTTGAAATAGCGACTTTCAATTCTTTTACAGCCTCTCGTTGTGGATGAGATAGTAAATAAAGAAGTTTATGGGAGAGAAGAGAAAAATGGGAAGCTAAAAATAAAGAAAACGAAGCCGTATCTGCCGAAGGCCTCACTCGTGTCCATGGACAAGGTGCCTCTAAAGCTGGAGAAATACACTAACATTGTAAGTTAAATTTTATTTTACAATATGCCTCTGTATATTCTTTGTTTATCATGTAAACAATCTTCAGATCTGTCTACTTCAAGACACACGAAATCATAACACCATAAATGCAAACAAACCCCACCCGTTCCATGGTCTCCCTGCCTCCAGTCTGCCAGTCTTAATCTTCCAGCTCCATGAAAACCTTCGAGAGGCATATCTTCATCTTCCCCATTAATTACACACTCCAACCTCTCCAATATTCTTAATGGATTTTTCCTCACAGCTGGCTAACTACCCTCACCTCATCTACAACATTTTCAACTATGAGACTGACCCACCACAAACCCACATGTTTGACATCTCCCCATGTTACAATGATTCTCAGGTGAGTGCCAGCATATTATAATTGATTACAGGTGAGAGGATGTTATAATTATTTAGGTGAATCTTGCATGGTATAATTAGGTGAGACAGTATGCTATAATCACCTAGGTGAGTGGCAGGATATTTAAAGGACTATAATTGTGCAGTTATTAACTATTCTAACAACTTACATACCATGTATAATGCAGAAAGGAAGTAAATTTATTATTATTATGATCATTATTATTATTATTATTTATTATTATTATTATTATTATTATTATTATTATTATTATTATTATTATAAGGACATCATCTACAAAGTAATATAAAACAAAATTTACTCTCAAAAAGATAGAAATTTTTAACTGTATTATTGGTTACTGATAAATATGTTGTATTTCAGTCTCGTGACTTTATACTGGACCTGCCCTCTGACACTCTAGAGATGGTGCAGTACAGGACTGACACGCTGCTGTACTCAGCTCAGGAAGCCTTGGCTGAAGTGGGCGTTATCTCCCCTCTCAGGATCAACAGAATAGTGGTGAGTGAAAACTGGATGGCGTGGAAACTTGCAGGTCAGCAAGTGCTCAGCTAATTATGTAAGGACTCAGGCTCGAGTCCTGGTGGGATCTGGGGGGGGAGGGGCAAGTCTACCGAGATCTGCTGCTCCAGTTTTAATAGCAGTAAATAAGTAACTAGAGTTTTGTTAACTGTGGTGAGTGGATTCCTGGGCTGTAGAAATAAGTCACGTGCTATTATGCTTGTGAAGGGCTGTTGATCAATTGAATTGCAGCTAATGTCCCCTTCCTTGCACATAACCTTATCATCAGTCATTTTCCAGGCACTATGCGACTCCTACTGGCTATAATAATATGCCTCTCTGACAGCTTACAACAGATGTGTTCCTGGCTATGACACGCAAAGTGAACTTATTGTAACATTTAAAACACGCAGTTTCGTTCTGATATTATTCAGCTTCCTAGTTTCTTGGCTTTTAATAACAGAGCTTATCACACATGAATTTAATGATCATATTAAAAATAATTATTTTACGAGACCGGGTCTACCTCGGAGACCAGGTCTTGGACCTGGCTGCAGAAGTTTTGACCCTTAAAGTCAACCAGTCTGTCACTTTCTAGAGTGCATACATTATGAACTTGTGAATACATATCACCCTATTCCTCTTTCCTGCCTCTGTCCCTCCACGCCTAGTACACTCTTCCTGCCTCTCTCCCTCTACGTCCAGTACACGCTTCCTGCCTCTCTCCCTCTACGTCCAGTACACGCTTCCTGCCTCTCTCCCTCTACGTCCAGTACACACTTCCTGCCTCTCTCCCTCTACGTCCAGTACACACTTCCTGCCTCTCTCCCTCTACGTCCAGTACACACTTCCTGCCTCTCTCCCTCTACGTCCAGTACACACTTCCTGCCTCTCTCTCCTCTACGTCCAGTACACACTTCCTGCCTCTCTCCCTCTACGTCCAGTACACACTTCTTGCCTCTCTCCCTCTACGTCCAGTACACGCTTCTTGCCTCTCTCCCTCTACGTCCAGTACACGCTTCTTGCCTCTCTCCCTCTACGTCCAGTACGCGCTTCTTGCCTCTCTCCCTCTACGTCCAGTACACACTTCCTGCCTCTCTCCCTCTACGTCCAGTACACACTTCCTGCCTCTCTCCCTCTACGTCCAGTACACACTTCCTGCCTCTCTCCCTCTACGTCCAGTACACACTTCCTGCCTCTCTCCCTCTACGTCCAGTACACACTTCCTGCCTCTCTCCCTCTACGTCCAGTACACACTTCCTGCCTCTCTCACTCTACGTCCAGTACACACTTCCTGCCTCTCTCCCTCTACGTCCAGTACACACTTCCTGCCTCTCTCCCTCTACGTCCAGTACACACTTCCTGCCTCTCTCCCTCTACGTCCAGTACACACTTCCTGCCTCTCTCCCTCTACGTCCAGTACACGCTTCCTGCCTCTCTCCCTCTACGTCCAGTACACACTTCCTGCCTCTCTCCCTCTACGTCCAGTACACACTTCCTGCCTCTCTCCCTCTACGTCCAGTACACACTTCCTGCCTCTCTCCCTCTACGTCCAGTACACACTTCCTGCCTCTTCCCTCTACGTCCAGTACACACTTCCTGCCTCTCTCCCTCTACGTCCAGTACACACTTCCTGCCTCTCTCCCTCTACGTCCAGTACACGCTTCCTGCCTCTCTCCCTCTACGTCCAGTACACACTTCCTGCCTCTCTCCCTCTACGTCCAGTACACACTTCCTGCCTCTCTCCCTCTACGTCCAGTACACACTTCCTGCCTCTCTCCCTCTACGTCCAGTACACACTTCCTGCCTCTCTCCCTCTACGTCCAGTACACACTTCCTGCCTCTCTCCCTCTACGTCCAGTACACACTTCCTGCCTCTCTCCCTCTACGTCCAGTACACACTTCCTGCCTCTCTCCCTCTACGTCCAGTACACACTTCCTGCCTCTCTCCCTCTACGTCCAGTACACACTTCCTGCCTCTCTCCCTCTACGTCCAGTACACACTTCCTGCCTCTCTCCCTATACGTCCAGTACACACTTCCTGCCTCTCTCCCTCTACGTCCAGTACACACTTCCTGCCTCTCTCCCTCTACTTCCAGTACACACTTCCTGCCTCTCTCCCTCTACGTCCAGTACACGCTTCTTGCCTCTCTTCCTCTACTTCCAGTACACACTTCCTGCCTCTCTCCCTCTACGTCCAGTACACGCTTCTTGCCTCTCTTCCTCTACTTCCAGTACACACTTCCTGCCTCTCTCCCTCTACGTCCAGTACACGCTTCTTGCCTCTCTTCCTCTACTTCCAGTACACACTTCCTGCCTCTCTCCCTCCCTTAAAAAAATAATCTCACTGACCTTGTCATCCCGGGTCAACCCAACTCGACCTTGCCAGGCGTCCATATTCTTTTGTCTTGCTATAATAACCTTAACTTGAAAAAAGCATAGTCTCCTTGATGTTACTTTGACTGGAGTCTACCTGGAGAGCATTCCGGGGATCAACGCCTCCACGGCCCGGTCCATGACCAGGCCTCCTGGTGGATCAGAACCTGATCAACAAGGCTGTTGCTGGCTGCACGCAGTCCAACGTACGAACCACAGCCCGGCTGATCTAGCACTGACTTTAGGTATCTGTCCAGTTCCCTTTTGGGTGGTGGAGCTGTTTAAAAGTCTTGGGCCCCCCGGGCACTGACGGATTTTCCCACCACCAATCTTTGTTTATCTCGAAAAATTTTTTTATTGATGCAAAAAAAAAAACATTTAGTGGTATTTAAAAAAAAAATTGTTAAAATTTAGGTGTTGTTGGTGCTGTTTATGGAGAATGAAAAATTTTTGCATCATCAGGAATTACTGGGTTGGCTGAGGTCACAACAGTATGAGGTACAACATTGTAGGTCCAACATTTTTGAGGTCACAACATGTATGAGGTCACAACATTATGAGGTCACAACATTAGAGGGCACAAAATTATGAGGTCACAACATTGAGGTCACATGTGTAGGTCACAACATGTTGAGGTCAAACAGTTTAGGGGCACAACAGAGAGGTCACACATGTACAGGTCCATGTGTGAGGTCACAACATGTATGGGTACAACTGTATGAGGTCACAACATGTATGAGGTCACAACATGAGAGGTCACAACATTATGGGTCACAACAGTTGAGGTCACAACATGTATGAGGTCACAACATGTAGAGGGCACAACATTATAGGGCACAACATGTGGAGGTCACAAAAATGATGAGGGCACAACATTATGAGGTCACAACATGTATGGGTCACAACAGTATGAGGGCACAACATGTATGAGGGCACAACATGATAGTCACAACATGTATGAGGTCACAACATGTGTGAGGGGCACAACTGTAGAGGTCACAACATGTTGAGGGCACAACATTATAGGGCACAACATGTGTGAGGTCAAAACTGTATAGGCACAAAATTAGAGGGCACAACAGTATGAGGTCACAACATTTTTGAGTCAAAACAGTATAGGTCACAACATGGAGGGCAAACATGTATGAGGTCACAACATGTATGAGGTCACAAATGTATGAGGCACAACATGTATGAGGTCACAACAAAGTAAAGGGGGGGGGGGGGGTCCAAAGGTGAGGTCACAACATTAAAAGGTAACAACATGATGAGGGCACAAAATGTTGAGGTCACAACTGTATGAGGGCACAACATGTATGAGGTCCCAACAGTTGAGGTCACACATGTTAGGTCACAAAATGTATAGGTCACAACATGTAGAGGTCACAACATTTTAGGTACAACAGGTGAGGTCACAACAAGTATGAGGGGACAACATGTATAGGTCACATGTTGATGTCACAACATTATGGTCACAACATGTAGAGGGCACAACATGTGTGAGGCACAACATGTTGAGGTCAAAACATGAAAGAGGGCACAACATGTATGAGGGCACAACATGTTAGTCACAACATTTTTAGGCACAACATGTATGAGGTCCAACATTTTTGGGTTTACAACAGTATGAGGGACAACAAATTTTTAGGTCACAACATGTATGAGGGACAACATTAGGTGACAACAAGTTTGAGGGCACAACAGATGAGGTCACAACTGATGAGGGGACAACAAGTGTGAGGTCACAAAAGTATGAGGGCACAAGTGTGAGGTCCAACATGTTGAGGGCACAACAGTTGAGGTCACAACAAGTGTGACGTCACAACATTATGAGGTCACAACAGAGAGGTCCAACATTTGAGTCACAACATGTGTGAGTCACAACATGTATGAGGTCACAACATTATGAGGACAACAAGTTTAGGCACAACAGTATGAGGTCCAACATGTTGAGGTGACAACAAGTATAGGTCACAAAATGTATGAGGGGCACAACATGTGTGAGGCACAACAGGTTTAGGTCCAACATTTTGAGGTCCAACATTGTGAGGTCACAACATGTAAGGCACAACATTTTTGAGGTCACAAAAGTTGAGGCACAACAGTATGAGGTCACAACATGTGTGAGGCACAACATAAGAGGTCACAACTGTATGAGGGCACAAAATGTATAGGTCCACAACAGTAGAGGTCACAACATGTATAGGACACAACATTTAGGTCACAACATTTTGAGGTGACAAAGTATAGGTCACAAAATGTGGAGGTCACAACCAAAATTTGAGGTCACAACATGTTGAGGTCACAACATTAAGGCACAAAATGTGTGGGTCACAAAATTATGAGGTCAAACTTATGAGGTCACAACAGTGTGAGGTCACAACATTAAGGTCACAAAATGTAGAGGGCACAACGTATGAGGGCACAGAAAAAAAGGGCAAACATTATGAGGTCACAACATGTATGAGGTCACAACAGTGTGAGGTCAAACATTATAGTCACAATATTTATGAGGCACAACATTTTAGTCACAAAATGTTGAGGACAACAGTGTGAGGTCACAACAGTATGAGGTCACAACATGTGTAGGTCCCAAAATTATGAGGTCACAATAGTATAGGCACAAAAGTGTGAGTCACAACAGTATGGGTCACAACATGTATAGGGCCACAACATGTATGAGGTCACATGTATGAGGTCACAACATGTATGAGGTCACAACATGTATGAGGTCACAACATGTGTGAGGTCACAACATGTATGAGGTCACAACATGTATGAGGTCACAACATGTGTGAGGTCACAACATGTTTGAGGTCACAACATGTATGAGGTCACAACATGTATGAGGTCACAACATGTATGAGGTCACAACATGTATGAGGTCACAACATGTATGAGGTCACAACATGTATGAGGTCACAACATGTATGAGGTCACAACATGTAAGGAACTAAACACTAAGCTAAACCAAATAAAACGTAATGAAGAAATAACCTCAGGTTTGACTTTAATAAAAACAAACCACGATATATATAAAATATATATATATATATATATAATATATATATATATATAATATATATATATATATATATATATATATATATATATATATATATATATATATATATATATATATATATATATAAATAATATATATACATATTAATTTCAGTTGGAAGAGCGAGATGACGTCTTAAGACTCTTATTTACCATCTTGGACAAAGCCGAGGTTGAGGGAGATGCTCCTGGAATCCTCAAGGAAAGTAACCTCAACACAGCTGTCAGCCTCATCAACTCTGCTGTCAGCAGTTCTAAACTTGTCATCGTTGTGAGGCTGAACAGTCTCATGAACGAATACTCTAAAGTTAGTACCTGATCACCTCACTGTCAGTCCTGTTCACCTAGCAGTAAATAGGCTCTACCTGGGTGTTAGCCAACTGGTGTGGGTCGCATCCTGGGGGACAATATTAACCTAATTTGCCAGAAATGTTTAGCATAACCAGGGGCTTTCTATATACTGCTTTATCAGTGATGTCAGCTATGGTCTGTATAAGTTGTATCATTTATACTTGTACAAATACAGGTGATTATTATTGTTATTATTATTATTATTATTATTATTATTATTATTATTATTATTATTATTATTATTATTACTATTACTATTATTATTATTATTATTATTATTATTATTATTATTATTATTATTATTATTATTATTATTATTATTATTATTATTACTATTACTATTATTATTATTATTATTATTATTATTATTATTATTATTATTATTATTATTATTGTATAAGACAAGTGCAGCACTTGAATATCTGTATTCCAGAAACGTTTCGCTCACTCACCACGTTTCTTCAGGCTCATGTAGTAATAGGCGTATTGTAATTTTAGGTGAAGGACTCAGACATAGTGGCTGTGGTGCCGGTTGCTGGCTCCATGGTACAGGTGCAGCGAGGCAAGAACAACGACTACAGCTACACCACAAGCAAGGGATACCAGTCAGGTGAGGGATACCAGTGTACACCTGAGTCATTAAGCCTGGCGGTCACCTGAGCGCTAACACAGAGAATAAATGAATAGCAACAATCGTAATAAGACAATGTGAAGCAAACCAGGGAACGTGTGGAGGGTTGAACCCCAGGCCAGAGTGTTAACGCACTGGCCTGCCCACTTCAGCACTCACTTACCATGGCTTCAGCCTCCCATCCCTTCCCTGGTTAGAATAATTGAATTCTTGAAACTAAGACTAAAGTCAACTCTGTGTCTGTACACTGAGAAAAACACACCTCTCAATGTGCATATATTTACACAGATATACACACCTGTCAGCTGGAAAATTGGCCTGACGTACACGGTGTACAGAGACCTGAACGATTCCTTACTGTGTGTGTGTGTGTGTGTGTGCGTGTGTGTGTGTGTGTGCGTGTGTGTGTGTGTGTGAGAGAGAGAGAGAGAGAGTGTGAGTGAGTGTGTGTTCTTATCTATTCTCGCCTATTTGTGGTATTAGGGGTCGAGTCTTAGATGGTGACTATTATGTGTGTGTTCATACCTCAATATATATATATATATATATATATGTCGTGCCGAATATGTAAAACTGGTCAATTAGCAAGAACTCATTTAAAATTAAGTCCTCTCTGAAATTTTCTCTTATACATTTAAAAATATATTTTTTTCATTAATGTTAATGTAAAAATTTATAATTTTGCACCAAAAGAATCTTAGAAAACTTACCTAACCTTATTATAAGAAGAACAATTTATTTTAGCCTAACCCAACTAAATATATTTAAGATTTGTTTACAATAATTTAATACTAAGCAAACACAGTGAAATATATTTTTTTCGTTAGGTTCAGAATGATTTTGGCGAAATTATTGCATACGCAAATTTTCGCTTGTCCTATATGGCAACATGAGCGTTGCTATTTAAGCCAAGATAGCAAGTTCTGCCTATTCGGCACGATATATATATATATATTATATATATATATATATATATATATATATATATATATATATATATATATATATATATATATATATATATATATATATATATATATATATATATATATATATATATATATATATATATAACTGTATATACCTAATATTGATACTGTATTTCAGAGGCACTAAAAGAAATTCGTATGTTTCAGGAGACATGGCAGGTCTGGCCATAGGTATGTTGATTGTGGGAACATTGGTAGGAGTGGCGGTCACTATGGTAGTCAAACATGGCACTGCCTCTCCCAGTGGCCTCCCCAGGGTCAGCATGGCACATAAATCTGCACCAAATTCTAGTAACACTATCAACGTCACTGCTGATCTTACCGCCTCAGATATATAGAAATTTAGTGAGTCTGTAGAGAAAGTAATGAAAATTATACTAGACGGTAGAGTATGTGTCTTGAAGCCACTGTAACCCAGAGTCTTGTTCACTGTAACCCAGTGTCTTGATCACTGTAACCCAGAGTCTTGTTCACTGTAACCCAGTGTCTTGATCACTGTAACCCAGTGTCTTGATCACTGTAACCCAGAGTCTTGTTCACTGTAACCCAGTGTCTTGATCACTGTAACCCAGTGTCTTGATCACTGTAACCCAGTGTCTTGATCACTGTAACCCAGTGTCTTGATCACTGTAACCCAGTGTCTTGATCACTGTAACCCAGTGTCTTGATCACTGTAACCCAATGTCTTGATCACTGTAACCCAGTGTCTTGATCACTGTAACCCAATGTCTTGATCACTGTAACCCAGTGTCTTCATCACTGTAACCCAATGTCTTGATCACTGTAACCCAGTGTCTTGATCACTGTAACCCAATGTCTTGATCACTGTAACCCAGTGTCTTGATCACTGTAACCCAGTGTCTTGATCACTGTAACCCAGTGTCTTGATCACTGTAACCCAGTGTCTTGATCACTGTAACCCAGTGTCTTGATCACGGTAACCCAGTGTCTTGATCACTGTAACCCAGTGTCTTGATCACTGTAACCCAGAGTCTTGTTCACTGTAACCCAGTGTCTTGATCACTGTAACCCAGTGTCTTGATCACTGTAACCCAGTGTCTTGATCACTGTAACCCAGAGTCTTGTTCACTGTAACCCAGTGTCTTGATCACTGTAACCCAGAGTCTTGTTCACTGTAACCCAGTGTCTTGTTCACTGTAACCCAGTGTCTTGATCACTGTAACCCAGTGTCTTGATCACTGTAACCCAGTGTCTTGATCACTGTAACCCAGTGTCTTGATCACTGTAACCCAGTGTCTTGATCACTGTAACCCAGTGTCTTGATCACTGTAACCCAGTGTCTTGATCACTGTAACCCAGTGTCTTGATCACTGTAACCCAGTGTCTTGATCACTGTAACCCAGTGTCTTGATCACTGTAACCCAGTGTCTTGATCACTGTAACCCAGTGTCTTGATCACTGTAACCCAGTGTCTTGTTCACTGTAATCCAGTGTCTTGATCACTGTAACCCAGTGTCTTGATCACTGTAACCCAGTGTCTTGATCACTGTAACCCAGTGTCTTGATCACTGTAACCCAGTGTCTTGATCACTGTAACCCAGTGTCTTGATCACTGTAACCCAGTGTCTTGTTCACTGTAACCCAGTGTCTTGATCACTGTAACCCAGTGTCTTGATCACTGTAACCCAGTGTCTTGATCACTGTAACCCAGTGTCTTGATCACTGTAGCCCAGTGTCTTGATCACTGTAACCCAGTGTCTTGATCACTGTAACCCAGTGTCTTGATCACTGTAACCCAGTGTCTTGATCACTGTAACCCAGTGTCTTGATCACTGTAACCCAGTGTCTTGATCACTGTAACCCAGTGTCTTGATCACTGTAACCCAGTGTCTTGATCACTGTAACCCAGTGTCTTGTTCACTGTAACCCAGTGCCTTGATCACTGTAACCCAGTGTCTTGATCACTGTAACCCAGTGTCTTGATCACTGTAACCCAGTGTCTTGATCACTGTAACCCAGTGTCTTGATCACTGTAACCCAGTGTCTTGATCACTGTAACCCAGTGTCTTGATCACTGTAACCCAGTGTCTTGATCACTGTAACCCAGTGTCTTGATCACTGTAACCCAGTGTCTTGATCACTGTAACCCAGTGTCTTGATCACTGTAACCCAGTGTCTTGATCACTGTAACCCAGTGTCTTGATCACTGTAACCCAGTGTCTTGATCACTGTAACCCAGTGTCTTGATCACTGTAACCCAGTGTCTTGATCACTGTAACCCAGTGTCTTGATCACTGTAACCCAGTGTCTTGATCACTGTAACCCAGTGTCTTGATCACTGTAACCCAGTGTCTTGATCACTGTAACCCAGTGTCTTGATCACTGTAACCCAGTGTCTTGATCACTGTAACCCAGTGTCTTGATCACTGTAACCCAGTGTCTTGATCACTGTAACCCAGTGTCTTGATCACTGTAACCCAGTGTCTTGATCACTGTAACCCAGTGTCTTGATCACTGTAACGCAGTGTCTTGATCACTGTAACCCAGTGTCTTGATCACTGTAACCCAGTGTCTTGATCACTGTAACCCAGTGTCTTGATCACTGTAACCCAGTGTCTTGATCACTGTAACGCAGTGTCTTGATCACTGTAACCCAGTGTCTTGATCACTGTAACCCAGTGTCTTGATCACTGTAACCCAGTGTCTTGATCACTGTAACCCAGTGTCTTGATCACTGTAACCCAGTGTCTTGATCACTGTAACGCAGTGTCTTGATCACTGTAACCCAGTGTCTTGATCACTGTAACCCAGTGTCTTGATCACTGTAACCCAGTGTCTTGATCACTGTAACCCAGTGTCTTGATCACTGTAACCCAGTGTCTTGATCACTGTAACCCAGTGTCTTGTTCACTGTAACGCAGTGTCTTGATCACTGTAACCCAGTGTCTTGATCACTGTAACGCAGTGTCTTGATCACTGTAACCCAGTGTCTTGATCACTGTAACCCAGTGTCTTGATCACTGTAACCCAGTGTCTTGATCACTGTAACCCAGTGTCTTGATCACTGTAACACAGTGTCTTGATCACTGATAAGTGTCACTGCACCACAAATGTTTACACAATAATCTTTTTGTACTGTTATTAACAAAAGCGCTGTTGTTGTTAATTACTGTTGTTACTCAGGTCTTGTACAAGTTACTGTTGTTACTCAGGTCTTGTACAAGTTACTGTTGTTACTCAGGTCTTGTACAAGTTACTGTTGTTACTCAGGTCTTGTACAAGTTACTGTTGTTACTCAGGTCTTGTACAAGTTTACTGTTGTTACTCAGGTCTTGTACAAGTTACTGTTGTTACTCAGGTCTTGTACAAGTTACTGTCGTTACTCACGTCTTGTACAAGTTACTGTTGTTACTCACGTCTTGTACAAGTTATCTCTGGACTCATCAATTTAACATAACATTAATGTAATTATTGAAATATCCATTAGGTATATATTGTATTTTCGTTTTTTATCCTTTTACATAAATATATTTGAATATATATATATATATATATATATAATATATATATATATATATATATATATATATATATATATATATATATATATATATATTATATTATATATATATATATATATATATATACATACGTTACCTGCTTTTCTGTCCTCGTGTATTGCATCCAGAGAGCTTGTAGCAGCGATTCTCCCTGAACATCTTAGGGACAAGATTGGAGTCCAGGACCAAAAATTCATTGATGGAGCAATGATCTGGGATAATCTAACGTGCTCTGAAACCTGCTCCCCCCAACAACTACAAACAATCGCACTGGGATGGTCCAATAGTGGAAAATATTGCCTCAACAATGCTTCAGAGTGTGTCAGGGAAGGATAGAGCCTGCCTCCTGGCAGTGAGAGCCCCTCATGCTGGAGACTTTCTGTTGGCTGTTCCCAACTCCAGCCTTGGCACACGCCTCGACCCACAGACCATCCGCATCGGTGTTGCCCTTCGACTTGCCGCCCCTATTCTCGCCGAACACAGGTGTATTTGTGGCAGTGAAGCAGCAGACCGATTCGGGTACCATGGTCTTGTGTGCCGTAAATCCGAGGGAAAGATTACAAGACATGAGGATATAATAATAATAACAATAATAATAATAATAATAATAATAATAATAATAATAATAATAATTTTATTTTTATTATTATTATTATTATTATTATTATTATTATTATTAATGATAATAATAATAAGAACAATAAATTAAACATTAAATTAATGTTATTCATAGTTTTTTTATTTATTTATATATTTTTAATAAGAAGAAAGTGTGAGGAAGAGTTAGACAAGACGGTCTTGTTATACTGTTTTATTTACACATATATTATACAGAATATTGTTGTGATACAGCAGGTTGTGAATGTTGGTGTTATGTCTCTCTTGTGATACTACCTCCCACACACCCTCACACACCCCACACACCCCACACACCCCACACACACCCCCACACCCCCCACACCCCCACACACCCTCACACACGTCCACACACCCCCACACACCCACACACACCCCACACACCCCCACACCCCCACACACCCCCACACACGTCCACACACCCCACACCCCCCACACCCCCACACCCCCCACACACCCCCCACACACGTCCACACACCCCACACACCTCACACCCCCCACACCCTCCACACCCCCCCACACACGTCCACACACCCCCACACCCCCCACACACCCCCACACACGTCCACACACCCCACACCCCCCACACCCCCCACACCCTCCACACCCCCCCACACACGTCCACACACACCCCACACACGTCCACACACCCCCACACCACGTCCACACACCCCCACACACCCCACACACACCCCCACACCCCCCACACCCCCACACACCCTCACACACGTCCACCACCCCCACACACCCACACACACCCCACACCCCCCCACACCCCACACACCCCCCACACACCGTCCACACCCCTCACACCCCCACACCCCCACACACCCCCACACACGTCCACACACCCCACACACCCCATACACCCCACACACCCCCACACCCCCCACACACCCCACACACCCCCACACACCCCCACACACCCCCACACACCCCTCACACACCCCCACACACCCCACACACCCCCACACCCCCACACACCCCCACACACCCCCACACACCTCCACACACCCCCACACCCCCCACACCCCCCACACCCCCCACACACCCCCATACACCCCCACACACCCCCACACTCCCCCACACACCCCCATGCACCCCCATGCACCCCCATATACACCCCCGCACACCTCCAACCCCCGACACCCCCAACACTTACTAACACCCTCACACCCACACACATATCCCAACCCAACACCCCCACACCTTCAACCCTTTACACCTTCAACCCCACACATATATCCCAACCCAACACCCCACACCTTCAACCCCCTACACCTTCAACCCCCCACACCTTCAACCCCCACACACACCCCAACCCAACACCCCCACACACACACCTCCAACCCCCCACACCCCCATACACTCCTAACCCCTACCTCCACACTCCCCCTTTGCATGCACATCAACATTCCCTCTCTCACACTGGAAGAAAACATGTCTTATAAAAAGCATCAACTGACATAATAATAATAATAATAATAATAATAATAATAATAATAATAATAATAATAATAATAATAATAATAATAATAATAATAATAATAATTTACCAGATAAAAATGAAGTTACTGAGATGTTTTCATGATTGAAATGCTGAAGTTCACAACTTTGCAAAAGTTTCCTGAACTTGAGTTGAACAGTAGCCAAGTTGCTAGAAAACTTAGCGAGGAAATAAAACATGGAAAGGAACAAAATACCATGATGGAGGAATAAAGAAATTGCAGAGAGAAGAAACCAGGGAGGGGAAAGAAAGCAGCAAAGAATGAGAATGGTAGACGGGAGAGGGAGTTTAGGAAGTCCCATTGACATACCAAAATGTTAGAATTTAAGACAAGTTGATAATACTGTTATTCTCGTGTTTTTTTAATATTAACAACGATAATACTGTCTCTGAGTTGGTAACTGTGACCTTCAGGTTGACGGGGTGAGGGTTTTTTGACCTAGACGGGAGTGGGAAGAGGGTTTTTTGACCTAGACGGGAGTGGGAAGAGGGTTTTTTGACCTAGACGGGAGTGGGAAGAGGGTTTTTTGACCTAGATGGGGGGAGGGAGTGGTTTAAGTGTGAGGAGAGGCACGACAGGAGGCAATAGGAGCATCCAGCACTATTTACTACTGCCTCGTACACTCCAGCTTGTGACTTGAACAATGACAACCACACTAACTGCTGGTGGTCCTGTCTAACCCTGCCTGCAGGTATTTATGCTTAGCTAATGCTAGATATACCTCCCGACAATACTTATGTATTTACTCTTCGAGGTATTTACACACGGAATAAATATATACATAAAAAATATAACATCTTAATGCGACATCAAATTTGCATACAAACTAAAGGGAGATAACACAATGAGTCGTTATCACGTTTTCTGCGTGATTATTAACTTATTATATACATTATAGCCGGCTGTGAGGACGTAATGTACACGTACACTACATGTACACTACATGTACACTACAGGTACACTACATGTACACTACAGGTACACTACATGTATACTACAGGTACACTACCTGCGGATGGTCCCACACGACTTTGCAGTTAACTAGATGTGTAGAAGTGAACTTGTACAAAGAGGATAGCGTACCTCTCAGCCAACGGAGGATCAAGCCTTCAGTACTCATCCCGCTGATTAACTACACACACACACACATACACACACACACACACACACACATACACACACACACACACACACACACACACACACACACACACACACACACATACACATACACACACACACACACACACACACACACACACACACACACACACACACACACACACACACACACACACACACACACACACACACACACACACACACACACACATATATATATATATATATATATATATATATATATATATATATATATATATATATATATATATATATATATATCAGTTTAATATGCATTAGTTTGGTACAGTATATAATTATTTATATAGAGAGGTAATGTTGAGTCTCCATGTAAGATATATGAAAGCCCAGGAGACTAATGGCACGTTGAGCCTAACACAGGTGTTTTAACAAGGGGAATATTACAATATATGCTAGCACACCCTGACGACGCCTGCCACCACCTCGGGGCTAACTGCCCTTCCTATCTTCGGATCAAACCTGATTGCTTGAAATTCGCTCCAGGAGCTGTTTGGCCACCCATCCTGCGGGTTTAGTGCCTGCATCCTTGAATATAAAAATTATCTATAGGTAGATAGAAGTCACTGTCAGCAATATGAGAGTTTGAAGAGGTAAGCGGGCAATCTTTGTGACATAGGATCGAGCCTCACTCACACCTTCCACTCTATAATATTAATAATAATAAATAATAATAATAATAATAATAATAATAATAATAATAATAATAATAATAATAATAATAATAATAATGTTAAAATTAATAATAATAATAATAATAATAATAATAATAATAATAACAATAATAATAATAATAATAATAATAATAATAATAATAAAATAATAATAATAATAATAATAATAATAATAATAATAATAATCATTCCCAAGGATTCAGATGTGAAATTTTTCATAGGTACCGGGATGATGATGGTGAAGCTCTGGATCCAAGGGAATAAAGTTGCCCCTCTCTCCAGGCTCTGCCTGGAGAGAGGGGCAACTCTGTAAGGCCCACACGGGTCTAACTTTCTATGGTGAATGTCATAATGCTAATGTTATGGTGTTGCTCAATGCAAGAAGTATTGTGAATCTGTGTTGCAGTGGTGACTTGTGTTGCTGTAGTTACATTGCAGTGTTGCTGGCGTGGTTACAGTGTTCCTAGCGTAGTTACAGTGTTGCTGGAATAATTACAATATTGCTGGCGTAGTTAATGTGCTACTGACGCAGTTACAATGTTGCTGGAGTAGTTAGTGTTCCTGGCGTAGTTACAGTGTTGCTGGAGTAATTACAGTGTTGCTGACATAGTTACAGTGTTGCTGGAGTAGTTACATTTAATTCATTGTATTTCCCGAATGTACCGGGACACAGTACCGAGACATAGTATCCAAGGCTTCCTTGGATCAAACCTGATGACTTCCCATTCCCTAGGTGGTGCATAGCCCCTACGGGCTTAGTGCTTTCCAAGAATATATTAACAATTGTTCATCTGAGATCCAGATTAATATTTAAGGTGATATGACTCAAATATTCTCGGTTCTAAGACGATCTGGGAATATCAAGTGACGTTCCCCTGATAGCCAGGCGATGTTTCGACGATCCGGGTAAACGTTGAACGTTTCGAGCAATTGGGGGAAGGTTTATCTTTCCGGCGCGTGGGTGTTCTCCTGTACGTGCAGGTGACCATCTTAGATGTCAGACCTGGGTGGCACTCATCAGGCATCGGGTTAGATATTCCAGGTGCCCGGGTGGCTCTTTTCTAGGCTCGTGGGTACCGTTTTGTCAGGCACCTAAGTGTTATTTTGTTCTGGTACCTTGAGAGCATTTGGCATCAGGGTGACAGTCCTCAGGCACTAGGTGGCATTATCTAGGCTCCCAGGTGACAATTCCCAAGTGACCTGAGAAACATCAGGCACCTAGGTGGCACCTAGGCGACTAAAACGACGTTTCCCAAGCACCTAGATGGCAAAAGCACCATTGTAACACATTCTTAGATATTTTAGGTGGCATTTTTCCAGGCATCTAGGTGACGTTCTCCAGGATCCAGGGCACAAACATTGAGATCCGGGTACAGACCCCGGGTAGGTTAGGCTCAGCACAGCCTATGCCCCATGATATGATTCCGGCCAAGAAATATCTTCCATCAGCGCCTCGAACCTGCAGCGGACCTCCTGAGTCACCCTGAGGAACAACAGCAACCAGTTAGCTATTTAGTTAGTTACAGCCTCCACATGAAGTTAATAATAAAAGTCTGGTAATCAATGTAACTGGAAGAAAATTTAGTGACTATATATATATATATATATATATATATATTTTTATTTATTATCACACCGGCCGATTCCCACCAAGGCAGGGTGGCCCGAAAAAGAAAAACTTTCACCATCATTCACTCCATCACTGTCTTGCCAGAAGGGTGCTTTACACTACAGTTTTTAAACTGCAACATTAACACCCCTCCTTCAGAGTGCAGGCACTGTACTTCCCATCTCCAGGACTCAAGTCCGGCCTGCCGGTTTCCCTGAATCCCTTCATAAATGTTACTTTGCTCACACTCCAACAGCACGTCAAGTATTAAAAACCATTTGTCTCCATTCACTCCTATCAAACACGCTCACGCATGCCTGCTGGAAGTCCAAGCCCCTCGCACACAAAACCTCCTTTAACCCCCTCTCTCCAACCTTTCCTAGGCCGACCCCTACCCCGCCTTCCTTCCACTACAGACTGATACACTCTTGAAGTCATTCTGTTTCGCTCCATTCTCTCTACATGTCCGAACCACCTCAACAACCCTTCCTCAGCCCTCTGGACAACAGTTTTGGTAATCCCGCACCTCCTCCTAACTTCCAAAACTACGAATTCTCTGCATTATATTCACACCACACATTGCCCTCAGACATGACATCTCCACTGCCTCCAGCCTTCTCCTCGCTGCAACATTCATCACCCACGCTTCACACCCATATAAGAGCGTTGGTAAAACTATACTCTCATACATTCCCCTCTTTGCCTCCAAGGACAAAGTTCTTTATATAAATTATATATATATATATATATATATAATATATATAAAATATATATATATATATATATATATATATATATATAATATATATATATATATACTGTGTATCACCGTATATACACCGAGTGTATATGCCGTGATACACACTCGGAGGAACATACACTTGGATGTGTATACCGGGTGAATTAGTCATTAAGCTGAGTTAACAGTTAACAACACAGAAATAATAGTATTATAATAATAATAATAATAATAATAATAATAATAATAATAATAATAATAATAATAATAATAATAATAATAATAATAATAATAATAATAATGTTTTTATTATTATTATAATAACAATAATTTATATAATTATAATAATTGTAATAATTGTTATAATAATAATTTAATAATAATAATAATTAATTGATTAATCAGAGTAATAATGTCATTGCAGGCGAGTACCATGATGATAGTGAAGGGCTCTTGTTCCAGGGAATTGGAGCAACCCTTGGATAAAACCAGATTACCTTCCATTCCCTCCCCCACGTGCTGCCCGACCCCATCGGGTTTAACGCTTTCAGACTAGTGGTTGGCTTACTGATACACACACACACACACACACACACACACACACACACACACACACACACACACACACATACACACACACACACAACACACACACACACACACACACACACACACACACACACACACACACACACACACACACACACACACCACACACACATATATATACAGACACACACACATACACGCACACACACACACACATACACACACACACACACACACACATAACACGCACACACACACACACATACACACACACACACACACACACACACATACACACACACATACACACACACACACACACATACACACACACACATACACAAAACACATACACACACACAACACACACACACACACA